TATATATATATAATAAAAATTAAAAATTGTTATGGGGGATTAAAAAGAAACTCGATGAATATCGTTACTTTTCTTTACAGAATAAAATCGTTATTTTTCTGATATTATAATGCAATATTAAATAAAATTTGGGTTGGTTATTACATTCACATCTGACAGAGGTATGTAAATACTCTGTAACTTAGTTAAACATAAGTTTGAATACGTGTCTAGTTCAAAGCTATTAAAATTTCAGGATTTCTTAGTGATCTGATTTAAAATTATTTACGATATGGTAAAGCTGAAAAGTGAATTCTTCTGATAAGGATATGCATAGTATCTTATATTTACGTTTAAATCATGATAAGTATATATAATTTAACGTAATTAAAGAAATTTATTTTTTTAAAAATTTTAATAAAATTCTAAGTTATGAGAAAAACTGGACGTCTGAAGAGTTCTAACAAATCTTAAAGTTTATAGAGAAAAGTTTATAAAGAGCCCTGAATTTCCTTTCCTTTCTAATCTATTTAATTGCATATCTATACATGATGTTGCCTAATGACCGCCTTAAATGCAGGTTTCAGGAATCCTTGTCAAAATTTGTTTTTCAAGATGTCATAAAAATTCGTTTTAGTTACTACCAATTCATCTGTTTTTTTTTGTTTTTTTTTTGCAGGTGGTTTTGCTTTTTATTTGCTTAAAAATTAATTTTGATCACTGCTCGGTATCCTTTTTTTCCATTTCCTTTATGAAAAAGAATTTAAAAATGCAATATTAAGAGTGGTTATTGGGAAACACTTTTTGCTTCCATATCAAAATATAAATATTATTGTATATTAATACCCATATCTTCAATATTAGTATTTTCTTATATATTTTTACATCTTTAGAAAACAGAAATTTACAAAAATTATATTACACGAATTAATACTTTAAAACGATGTAACGAAACTGAAAATTTAAATAATTCTAAAAAGAAGCATCAGTACATTTAAATTTACGTTTACATCCATTGAAATGTATTATTTTTTAAACTTCATCTTTTTTATGAAGCAAATTATTCAAAAATATTTAAAATTTTAAATTGGCTAGGTAATCTTGCTATAGAATTAGGTTTCATATAATGCAAATATTAAAGAATCTGAAATAGATATACCAATGTTTTGGATTCGCCTGAAACGGAATTGAGTTTGAGAGTTGGTCATATCGTTCAATCTTTTCTTAAAGTAGTTTTTTCAAGATTTCTTCTAAAAAAAAAAACACTATATTTTTATACATGCCAAACCCTACATGTACCCGACGGGAGATTTAATCTCCCATCTTCTTTCAAAAGGGAGGACGCCAGAAAAACCTGAAACAAGAAAATGGAATTGTTTCTTTCTCCCAGTTGTTGCTTCGTTGACCGTAAAACTACATAGGAAGTTTCACTGTATTTCCTCAAGCAAGCTTTGAAGAAAGAAGAAAAAGACAAAAAGAAAATTTGAGGCAAAACAGAAAAGAAGAAGAAGAAAAAAGCCTCCGAGGCAACAAGAATGTTCCAGTAAAACACGAAGAACACAGATGTCCTTTTTTGGAATGTCAGAAAATGCACAGATAACTGTCACAAATGGCTAACTGCGTTTGCGGAATTGCGCAGCTTACAGGGCAGACAGGGCAGGGCGTATGCGAAAAAATTCAGAAAAAAGAAGAAAAAAATTCAGAATAGATATATACAATGTAACGAAAGATAGATATGCACCCTAACTATATTTAAGCTTATGCTACCCTTCTGAAACTTTCACCTGACAATTACCACACTAAAATGTTTTGGGGGAAAAAAGTCTCTGCATGTTTTATGTCGTTAAAAGTCTTATTGGTCTGTTTATAATATGACACATGATACCTTGTTTCTAAAGTCTCAGTGATTTTTAGTTTATATTTATATGTGTTTCTCTTAGATTTTTATTTTTTTTTTTTTTTTAATTTATTCTAATTTAATTTTTTTATTTATTTATTTGTGACAGCTAAAGTCGTTGATATGCACACTACTTAGTTAATCCGCAGAAAAACAAAGATAATCCATTTAAGTGGGGAATCAGGATTTTTTTGAGCAATTTACCTAGGTAATGCACGTGGTAAAGGTTTTTTCATCCTTCAAGTTCAAATGTTTGTAGCCCTTATTCCAATCACGATTTAAGTGATTGCTTGATTATGACATGTTTATTGACAAGCTTCTTAGACATTGAAAATTTTATGACATTGAAAATATGTTAAATTTCTTATTCGTAACAATATTTTGTATTATAGTTTCTAAAGTGACTGATAATTGATTCTATTGACTAATGTGTTGGTTGTTCGATTGCAGTAACTTGATTTTCTAGAAAGCGAAAAATAAATAACATTATGCTAGTTTAAGCGTACAGAAGCGTTTCTGTTGTTCCAAAGATCTTATTTTCATTTAAACGAGCGTCTAGTACGTAATACGCAGATTACCTACCTAGGCTGTTTACAGATTTTCTAGGTAAAAGGAAAAATTAAACAGTTTTTTGGTGCATTAACGAATCATCCAAGTCAATCTGCATAATAGCTAGATTATCTATAGAATGACTGATTTCTACTGTTTAGTTGACATATTTTATTACAAAAAACTGAACAAACAAGAAGTATTTTTTCCACCTGAGATCACATGTCTGCTTATGATAACATTGACATATATTTAAATTGTATTCATTCTAAGAAAAGAAAATGACACCACATAAAACATTATAGACAAAAAAAAATACAGGCAACAATAAACTTGTGGCAAAAAAAAGTGTCAATTCTTGGGGCAAAAAAATTTCCAGTTAATTTGTTTTGTTGAGACACAACGATAATTTAAAAGGGACAATAAGATTTAAGGAAGTTCCTAATATCTTTGAAATGAAAATTCCTTTATTTTTCGTTTGAATGAAATAGCTTTATCTCTCTGTGTTTTGAAAATTGATGGAAACGTTATAATCAACTCAAAAATGTTTTAATAAAATATAAAAATTCATGTATAAAATATTTTTGTGAGGTCAGTATTTAGTTTATCTTATTCGAGAAATTAATTATAATTTGAAGTATAGTTCGAGGAAAAAAGCACAATTCTTTTCAAGGAAATGTCCAAACTAGTGATAAAATTAATTACTCAAAATCCCCAGTAAATCGGAGGTGACGAGCATTTATTTTATAGAAGAGAAAAATTTAGGATAGCCATGCTGGACCTCAATTTAAACAAGTAAACCAATTTGTAATATCTTCGAAATTGATTTATTTTGATTAATGTTAAATTAATAGAGTTGTAGGTGATATTCTGGGATTATATATATAAAACGTATTCAAAAATCCCCTTT